AATATAGATTGCATATGTCATATATCACATCATATTATATCATACATCACAAATCATATCATATATCAAATGTCATGTCTTGTGATTTCATCTACTATATATCACAAATCACGTCATGTCACGTCATATCATGTGATGTCATGTATTACACCATTTGCAGTTTCTGATTTTGTCTATAAACCAGATTAAGTGAATTTTCATTAAACATTAAATTGCCTGTTTTGTCTGTGTAGTCCGGTAAAACATGGCCGCCACACTGAGGAGCTAACCGTGGTCAGTGAGAAGAACTCAGTGTTTCTGCGGTGAGTGACTGTGTTTTCCTGTGAACTGTGTTAACTCTTCTCCTGCTGTGTTGTGCTGGCTCCACCGATGTGATCCAAACAGACGGGTTCTTCTGCATGCGGAGAAAAGAGGGTTGTTTCAGTGGCGGTATGTTAGCATCAGTTAGCTAACACACGAGGAGACCTGTCATGTGTTAGCTTAGCGGGCTAGTAGCGAGCTAGCAGTGAAACTTTATTACTGCGTTAAGTTAGCGTGTTTATATCCTCAGATGTGTTCTGCTCACAGATAACCGCGTCGTGTGGTGTGATTCTGAGTCTGCGCTGTGACTCTGAGTCATTATAAGACAATACACCAACCTGATTACAACTAAATGTATAATCTGAGGGGTTTATATTAGCTAAATCCATAAATTCACGGAATAGTCACACAAGCTTGTAGTCGATTAATGCTGCTTGAGGAAATGCAGACATTGATTATGCCGGAGAGGCCTCTTTAATTAATAAAGAGGACTCCGTGATGTTTTGAGGTGTACACACTTATGTCAATGAGCCAGACCTTTTTAAATACCTCAGATTCCCAGTGAAGTCTGGTATAAAACAAGACAGAACGACAGGACTGTTCCCAGCTGACTGAAACCTAATATAAATACATGGTGTGTGACTTGCTGCAGAGGGAAACCTGTTGTGACGTGTGACACGGGGTTTGTTTACAGTTGTCACCATCTGTGTGGCACATGTGGGCTGCTGCGGCTTCTGGACACGTGATCACGTACAACAACATTTAATGGAGTCAGCCACCAGGTGGCGTGCTGTAGTCAGGCGGGTCATGATGCATGATCCAGCCTGGCTAACTGCTGTGAAATGTGATTCCCATTCAGACTAAGTGGATTTTAACATTATCCCCCTGGTTGACTCCACAGGTCTGTTTTAAATCTGCATTCATAATGATTACTCCTGCGTTTGACCTGAGCCAAGACCCTGAGTACTTGATCCTCAGCATCCGTGTGCCCTACACTAGAACATCAGAGTTTGACCTTTACATCGATGGATCAGACTTCAAGTTCTATGCCAAGCCTTACTTTCTAAGGTGAGTTAACCAATAAGCATACACTGGTGGAGCTGTGTTTAAGTTTAGGTTGGATGAAAGGGGAGCAGCACCAGCTGACTTTAATATACAGGCATTTACTCAATATCTGTAGTTAGATGACAAGTGAGGATCATCAAATCCAATGTTTGTCTTTGCAGTTATTAGTTATCACCATTTATGTATATGTGCTCTTTCCAGATTAACTCTTCCTGGAAGAATTGTGGAGGATGGGAGAGAAAAGGCCAAATTTGACATTGATAAAGGTAGGTCACATTTTTATATGATGACAATATGCACAATGGCTATAAAACAGCATGACTCATCGCACAGTTTCATGAGGACATTACACAGCAAAATGTCAGTTAACATATTTCACTATAGGTACTTAAAGCTGCTGGAGGAAACGGAGCCTGAGTCTTGCAGTGTTGCCGCTTTTTACAATCCATATATGAGCATGTTCACAGTTTGCAATGACCAAAGTTTACTTTTTACACACAAATAAACTACATGATTAATAAGAAATTATCTGAGAGGAAAGTTCACAACTTAAGAGTTCTGCTGGAGGATCTAATACCTTCCAGCAGTTTGCTTATTTTGTACTAAACTACATAGTGACACAGTGTTTTCCTGGTTAGATTTGTTTTCAAAAATCTGTTCCTTCCCAAGTGTTTTGTGAATGTGCTACTCTGTCCTTCAGCCAGAAAAAAAGGAACAATAAGCTGTGTTAAATGCAGAACAGGGTTATGACATGGAATGACAAAGGTTCCTCATCACGCCAGTATTGAACAGAAATGCACTTGTCAAACAGGGTGTGACTTAACCGATGGCCCTGGACCAGTAAAAAGATTAAGCGGGGCAAGTTGATTAAACACTTTTGAAAAGATGGTCACTCGGTGTGGGGGAAGCAGATATACCATGTATCACCAACGTGTAGATAAATTAAGGTTCAGATGTTTAGACCAAGAACTGGACTTTTACTGAAGGTGTCGACTCAGATTGCAGACTAACGTTAGCCCTATTATAAGACACTTCATATAGTGGCTAGTTAGCCATGTAGCTGGCTGTGCCTTACTTAATATAACTGAAATCTGACAATGTAATCTGACATGATTATACCCTCGCAGCGTTGTTCCTGTGTAAAGCTCTGCTGTTGGTTTTTTAATCTGCTGTCGAATTTGTTTTCAGCAAGAAAACACATCTACTAATGAGTCTTCATAGTTGACAGGCTACTCTTAAATAATTAATCACAGGTTGCAGTGTGTTTTTGCTCGAGGCTGATTTCTATGGCCGGAGGCGTTTTTTTGGTCTGTCCGTCCGCCCGCCCCATTCCATTGAACAAGATATCTCAAGAATCTCTTCAAATTTGGTACAAACATTCACTTGGATTCAAGGATGACCTGAATCTAATTTGTTTTGGTCAAAGGTCATGGTCACAAGGCAAAAATATGCTTTGTGATATCTCCAGAACGCCTTGAGGGAATTCTGTGAAATTTGGCACGAACATTCACTTGAACTTGGATTTCATTTTGGTAGCCAAAGGTCACGTTGGCCTCAAGAAGTGTGTTTATTTATTTGTTGGACGTGATATCGTAGGATCAGCTCGAGGAAATGTCTTCAAATTTAGTAGAAACGTTCACCTGGACTCAAAGATGAAGTGACACATTTTTGGTGCCTGAGGGTCAAAGGTCAAGGTCACAGTGACCTCATGTTCTAGTGGATGTGATATATCAGGACTGTCCGCAGGGAATTTCATCACATCTGCTACAATTAACTTTGAATCCTGGATGACCTGATTAGACCTGATTGGTGGTCAAAGGTCCCTCTGACCTCAAACATGTTTTGCCTCGTGAATGTGATGTCTCAGAACATCTCAAGGGAATTCTTTTTTAATTTGGCTCACATGTTCACTTGGACTCAAAGATGAAGTGATTCAATTTCAGCGGTCAAAGGTCACAGTAACCCAATATGAATCTGGATTCTAGGTCTGTTTCAGTTACTTAGTAACTGTGTTGGCACTACTTGCTACCATCAACTTTTACTGTAGCTGATTGTCTAATATCGAGTGCTGTGTTTTTAACAGGAACAATCTCAATTAGAGACTAAATAAGTCCTGAAGTGTAAAGTTTTATTCAAACGGCACAGACAGCAGTTGGTGCTGGCGACGTGATCTCATTGGCTGTAATTGAACTGTTAGATTCTTCCTTAACGCGGTGTCACGTGGCTGGATCAACTTTCAAAAGACGTGTAGAAATATTCAGTATACATTTTTAAATGATGTACAGTGGTTTAAATGATGTACATCATAGACATGAAGTTTCTTCTTCAGAGCTTGCAGAAGTGACATGATGAGGAAGTGCAGTGTTTCCCATTAATAGACTGTAGCATCACCCAGGCCACCTGCACAGCTCTCCTGCTGGAGGTGGAGCTCACACAGCCGGGGCAGGGACCTGTGGCCCAGCCAGAGTGCGCGCAGCCTGGCCACAGCACCACCCCGCCCGTCTGCACAGCTCTCCAGGTTCAGACCACACAGTGCCACGGGCAGTGTCGGTTGCTAAGCAACACCCAAGCAACATTCTGATGCCTGGGCCACACCGCAGTGTCGCTGCTGATTCTCAATCACTCGTCAATTCATCATTTTGAGTGATTGTGACAATTATGATGATAATCATAATTGTGATGCTCCCTCCGGCGCTTGGTGCCCTACACATGGTGCATGATGCACGTGGTCGGCTCGGCGGCCCTGTGTGAATGTGACCTGCCACTGGTATGTGTGAAAGAGCAGGTGTGTGAGTTACAAAGCATTTAAACACCAACCAACAGATTATAAGTAACCTATATATCTGGTGAAAATTAGAATCCATACACATTCACGCAGCACAGTTTGTTCTAAAAATATGGCTGATTTTTGCTTGTATGTTAATAGTGACCAGTCAGACACTTCTGCAGGACCAGAAGCATGGCTGTAATAGCAGTCAGTGATTGATCCCCAGGGAGTCTTTAGTTTGTACTTGAGTCAATCAGCCCGAGTAAATGAACCCACTGATCATCTCATCCCATTTAAGGAGCTGCTGGAACCTTCTGTAATGTCATAATTATTATAGCCTGCAGGCTGTCTCTACTCTCTCTCTTCACTGTGACAATGACAGGCAGCTCACACAGAATTTCGTTTAAACATATAACCCTCAAATGAAACATGATAATGACTATTGGCATGATGTTCTCTATTGTCTTTACATTACTCTCTGTCACTTTGATCTCCCTCCCCTTAATCAGTTGTAATGAAGTTGTCTTTATGGAGACGTCTGCCTTATGGACTCTGACACCTCGTCGCCCGTCTGTCAGCATGGCCCCAGTTAACACACTGTGTCTAAATAAGCCTTTAACATCTGCTAATAAAGCGCTGCTAATAAGTGTCCTTGTTTAGACTTATAATGAGCAATCATTAAGATCTGTCTTCCAGGCGCCCCATTCTGCAAGACCTGCAACTCAAGCACTTAGTCAGCTTCTATCGTAAAGTGCTTGTAAGCTTTAACACTTGGGTGCATTGAAATTTTATGAGGTCTTTAGGCGACCATCAGATTATCGGTGTGGCGCAGGCAAATCATTTTTATTCATCTCTTCAGTTTTAATAGCAAGGGCTTAATTTTTTGTAGTATTGCACATGTAGGTGGCCTGATTTATCTGCTGCTGCTTGTAATAAAGATAGATTTATTTTCAAATTCAAATGTGGGATTTGTCAGAAGGTCAAATGTTCTCTTTAGGGTTTAAATGAGTAATTTAGTAAAGTTGGTGTCAATGGCTTCATGTATTTCTCATGTTCTATTCATTCAAACAAAAAGGGTGGAGCATTGACTGAGGCCAAAGGCCTTAGTGAACAGGTGGTGCTTGAGGAGGTTTTTGAAGCAGTTCAGAGATGCAGCATTGCATATTTTGGCAGGTTTCCAGAGGGTGGGGGCTGCGACACAGACGGCTCAGTTTGGTGTTTGGGGATGGAGAGCAAATCTGAATTGAGGACCACAGCCTTAGTCATAAAATGTTTTCAAGTAATTGTGGTCTGTAAGGAGAAGCCACACTGCTGTAAATGGACCATTGTATGTGAAGATTCAGTCAGCACCACCAGACGTGAAGCAAACACTGTCACCACTGCAAGCTACAGTAACTTCACTGATCATTGTCTCTTACTGGTCAAGTTTTGATTTTAGCAAAAGCCTTGTTTCATTCATCATTTTAATATGTATAGTATCATTCATTTTATTTTTCCATCAGAAATGACTGATACATGTATAGTGCTCAAAGGTACTGGGAAATTTAGTTATAATAAATAATTCTCTGCAATATTGTCCCTACTGGTTTTCCATTGTACCTGCATTTAACTGGTATGATGGTGAACTAGTATTAGATTAAATTATATTCTGCATTAAAACTACCTTTTAAGATGTCTTTCATTTAGGTTGAACATACACCATGTGTGTATGAAATAACAGAAACCTGAGTTGTACAGTAAACAGGAGCTTTGTAATGTTAAAAACGTTTCCCTTCATGTCCCATCTCACTGCAGGTCTTTTCACTCTTCGGGTTCCAAAGGAGACATCTGGGGAAAACTTTGAAGGACTTCAGATGCTGACGAGTCTCCTCGCACCGAAGGGCTCCCGTTCAGCAAAACCATTGGTGGAAGATTTAAGCTCAGGTAAGTCAATCTATACACTGGTTTAACTTGTTTATTAACTGAAAGTCATTAATTGGAATTCATACATAAGGAAAAATGTGAAGAATGAAGCAGTATTAAACTAGAACCAATGATAGATACCTTCTGAACATTTTTAAAGGATGCAGTGAAAGTGTCAGAGACGATGAAGAGGAGGAGGAGGATGATGAAGAATTTGACTGGCAGGTTGAGCAGGAGGTGTACACAGAGAGCTCCGAGGAGGAACTGAGAGCCCAGCAGAAATATGGCTTTGCCAACCAGAGGTCTGGAGTGTTTGCCAGATTACAGGTAACATCTGTTTCTGAATGAGATTAGACAAACTCTGCTCATACACACACCACATGGCCATTAATGCTGTGAACGTTCTGACAGGAGGAGCTCAGCGATGTGATCGATATCAAAAACCCAGAGGGAACAACAGCAGCAGAGAGGAGGCAGGCGAGGCTGGAGGCAGAAGCATCTGCCTTTTCAACTGACCACTACCTGTGAGTTTATCCAAGAAAAAAAACCTCTGACTCTACTGAATACATGGAGCTGTGTTTTTTATATATATATATATATATGTGTGTCATTGCAGTGCTGATTTGTTTGAGGACGATGAAATAAAGGGACTGCTGAAGTTTAAACCATGGTGGACAAAGATGAGTCCTTCTACGGTGCAGGATGGAGACGCTGGTGAGTTCAACTAATGCCATTATAATCTTTAAACATTTAATTGATCGATTGTTTTATCTTAATTGTGCTGCTAGAATCAATCTCACGGTTAGCTCCTTAACAAAGGTTACACAAGTATGTATTTTCTATTAAATGTTTCCAGTGCACAGATGTAAAATAAGCGAACAGGAGAAGAAAATGTACAGTAAAGTTTTGTCAGCAGAATGTACTCAAGGTAGCAGAGAAAGTACCTGTGACAATTGTAATTTATTTCATATAATATAATTTGTTTGTTATTACTGATGCATGTGGCAGAAGATAAGTGGCAGAATGTGGTTGTAGTTGGTAGAGTAGACGTGACTTTAATGAGTTCATATGAAGCATAAAAGTTTTACCTCCCCCTCCAAAGATTCACAGGAGTAATCTGAGCAGTCATGACCTCATTTATTTGATATAATCTCATTAATTATAATTGTATAATTTGGTATGAACAAAAGAGGAAAATCATTATCTGTGGGATCTGCTTATACCTCAGACAATGTGCCTCAACTGGACATCAACTTCTGTAATTAATCACAATTCAATGGTTAGAAAACACTTAGAATCATTGGAGCACAGTAAACATGGGCAGAACACATGGGAATATTCACTTTTAACCACAATCATATAAAAAACATATCACACATCACGTTCTTGTGGATCATTGGATTTTCAAGCAATTAAATGAGCAGTGACTAGAGGCTACCAGAAGGGGGCATGAAGTTGCAAAAAATGAAAGTGCAATCATGCATTGTTTGTTTATTGATCAAATTGAAATACTGCTTATCAAACATTTTATTACCTCCCTGTATACCAACCCTTCAAACCTCCAAATCCTCCTTCAGTCATATGAATAGGAAAAACTGTACAAGAGAGGGAGTTCTAAATGGGAAAGTGTTGGCTGAGCTTGATCTATGTCAGGCCCTGACATTGTCCTCTGACAATATATTAATCCCCAAAGGACACATGAGTCTTTTTACTGCCCCGTACCAGAGGAAGGTCAGAGCTCAGCTCGTCGGCTAAAGCTGCCCTCCCCCGACAAACAGCCTCAGGGCTCTTCCACCAGCAAAGACACTCGCATTAGGAGAGATTGAACTTAAACCTTCGCTAATCACTGCATTTCCCTGCTGCCCGTTGACCAACACCCACAACTGATGAGTGAGAGGCAAATCAAAAGCAGTTCATATTTCTACCTTCTTGCACTTACTGCAATTTTCCCCAAAATGTTTTTTTTCTTTTTGCAAGTCATTTCCTGTCTATATCAATACCTATGGCTCATTTACTCAGACTGAAATATGTTGCTTGTTGGCTCGAGCCTCCCAGCTTCATTTCTCCGTTCAGCCTCTTGTAGAGGAGCGTGAGGCCTCTGCGCTGCAAGAGTCTATTTAATTGTGCCATCCCGCTCCTCTAACAGCCTGCTAATTCCAGCACTTCCACTGTTAAAGTGAGCACAGGGCTCACAGCCACAGCTTATGTGCAGTGCATGGGTGCCGTACGCTTGAGAGAGGATTTAGATTAAACAGATAGCATTATCGCAGAAGGGAGCGAGACCGGTCGCGTTTCCGCCAGCCCCCGACCGCTGACGAGCAGCCATCAGTCAGCAAAGCAAAGGCCATTAGCCGCACTCTTGAGTTTAGCCTCCGAAGAACATTGCGCTTCCCAGTATCCCCGGCGGCTCCTTCGCCTCATTCCGCATTCTAAGACTGAGTGCGTCGGTCGGGAACGCGGGCGTAGATAAATGGGCCAAATTAAACTTAATGGCTTGATTGACAAGTGGAATAGCATTAGCCTCAGCTGAGTGTGAAGAATGGCATCGGTCAGGAGATTTAAGCGGCTTGCCATCAAATCTTAAAGGCTTGCTTGTGAGTTTAACTGTTTGTCATATATTTAAAATGGAGGACTAAAACTTCCCTCCTCTCATGTGGGTTTTTAGGCTTTTTTCCTCCTGTCCTTCGCTTCTGCAAAGTCTGATATATATGTCACCTGACAGATGGATGTGGTCACAAGTGCTAATGAAGTAGAAAGTGGCCCCTTTGTGCTCTCCAGTGTTGGGGGCCGGCACACTGACAGGCCGCAGCTGCCCACTGGAGGCCTGCATTCACACGCTGGTTCAGGCTAAATGGTCCTGACAGCTCCGTCTCTCTAACTGCTCCACTTTGTTATGGCTGAGTTTTAGAAATCTGACCTCTGACGAAGATCGTCTTCTGTGCACATTTTAGCAGATTGTGTTTTTTGTCATTAGATGCTTTCAAACATGCGCTGGACTCTGCAGTGTTGAATGTGTTTCTACGGACTTTCTCCACCTGGCCTCCACGAAGAAAGTCCGTAGAATTCCAGGAGGAGCTGATGTGTGAACACAGCAGGGGATCCACCGCTGGATTCACCGTGAGCAAGTGTGGGGGGGGGGGTGAAGATAATACACGACCGACGTAAAAATGATAAAATATCATCATCAATCAATCAAATTGTATTTGTATAGCCCATATTCACAAATCACAATTTGTCTCATAGGGCTTTAATAAGGTGTGACATCCTCTGCCCTCAACCCTCAACAAGTCAGAACAAACCACCAAAAAAAACCTGCCAACAGGGGAAACAGAACTTAGAAAACCTCAGAGAGCCACATGTGAGGGATCCCTCTCCCAGGATGGACAGAAGTGCAATTGATGCCGTGTGTAATGGGAAGCGTCAGATATTAGAGTAAATACTTTGTAGCATGATGGAAGATGATCATCCGGTGAAAAAGAGGTGACACACATAAGAGATGCAGACGTAGACATAAATAGAGTTTGTGGTGATAAGAGCTTACAACGGCGTTGGGGTGCTGTAAACAATATCTTAAGCAGCAGTGTTAATACGTCACTTCCTGCTTCTATCTGCTGCATCTGGCTGCTGCAACTCCCACCTGAATAATGCAGCAGATTTGTTGCTGATGTGAACGCGTCTGTGCACAAAACCTCCTGCTCTGGTGTTCACGTGTGAAAGGAAAACTCTGGGTAAACTCTGTAGTCAATTCTCTGCCTTTTACCCGCAGGTCATGTCCAAAAATGGCTATTAAGTACCCCTTTGATTTATGCTTGAAATGATCACAGCGTGTGCATGCACAAAATTAACCGTATCCGCCATCCAAGGTCATATGATGCATTTGCGAAATTCTGGGAGCGTTTTTCCAACCCTCAGCAGTATTTTCACGAAGCATATTTCCTCATGCCACCAGACCATCTGGACCTGTAGAGAGCATTGACGAGCCAGACTGCCCTGACTGGAGGAATTAGGTCAGAAATTAATTTGCAAGCAGGAGAGGTCCGCATCCACTGTGCTAATGTCTGCTAGAATTGATTGGCTGCGTGGAGGAGACGAATGAACGTGGTGTTGGGCACATCTATCAGCTCTGCTCACCTCACCTCACCTCGCTGCATTGGCTCCAGAGTTAATAGAAAATATATCAGCATCGTGTGGCTGCTGTGTCCAACTCGCAAGAGGGTGCGTGCTCTGTTTCAATTTCGATTTTCCCTCTAGTTGTTGTTTTTAATTACTGAATCTGAGTGTGTTGTGCAACATAATTTCTCCAGCACAGATGGCACTTGTACTGCTCAAATCTCTAGGATCCTTTCTGTGTGAACAAGGAACCCTTAATACATTTTCTTTTGTCAATATTTGTATTGTACATCAATCTTTTCTCCTTTTTTTTTTTTTATCTTAAAGCACTTGTGCATCCATGCATTTCTGTGTGTGTTGTCCAGTTATTACTATTGTTGTTTGGACCTAAATCTGTTCACATAGTCACTTATGTGAGTTATCATAACCTTATCATTAGAATTTAAGGTGAAGACATGTTTAAGGTTTAGGTTGAGGCTACTGTTAGGTTAGATTTTGTTTAAGGTTAGGGTAACAGTTTGGTTTGGGGTTAAGTTTAGGGTAAGGTAAAGGTTGGGTTAAGTTCTGGTTTAAATGAAGGGTTAGGGTTAGTTTTCCAGGAAATCAATATAAGTCAATGTAATGTCCTCAGAAGTAATTAAGTGTGTGTCTGTGTGTGCGTGCTGAGGGACAATCTGTGCACATGGTCTTGCTTATCTGATGCTTGTGACTCTGCACGTTTACGCATTACACCACTGGGTTTTATATTACATTTTCATCCCCTCTCTCAATCTATGTGTCTTTGCATTTGTTGGAAGAACAAAGCCTGCAGATGTGGGTGTGGGGATGTGTGCGTCTGTCTGTGTCTTCTCCTCAAACTCTGCTCTCCCGCTGCAGCGTTGAGAGACTCGGGAGCTAGAAACTGACGTAATGCAGCGGGAATCTCCTTCCCAACAGAGCCAAGTTACCGCTGCAGCCAGAGAGATCGTTTAAAAGTGCTGTGTGTGTGTGTGAGCTTGTGTATTTGTGTTCATGCTCCAGCCAATACACGTGTGTCTTGCTCACCGGGGGCTCAGTGCAGAGTCTCCTCTCCTCGTGCAGAGAGAGGAAATGCTTTCAGCTATTTCATAAGGTGCTGGGTGAAAGGATGAAAACAGCTGAGTTACAGCATGTTCCTGCAGACATTCAGTGCACCTTTCAGCACTGAACGCTGCAGATAGCTTAAATGGGATTGAAGTCTGTTTGTGTCGCTCCATTAGGCTTGCCACAAATCCCCATTAAGCAGATGTCTCTTTCAAAAGGCAACAGTTAGTGACTTTGCAGTGAGCAGGGAAGCAGTGGTTTTGAGATATTTTCATATGATGGAGCTGTGTGTTTTCTTAAAGCAGAGCTGTCAAACACATAGATGAGACTGGATTTACTAATTTTGTGAATTTCCTGTAGGAGTATTTGGCGTATTTTGCTTCTACTGCTTATCAGGCTCAGTCAGGTGCCCTTTAACAAGGCTCTTTGCCCCCAACTGCTCCAGAAAAACAGTTCATCAGCCAACAGTGGAAACAGATTAACTGTAGGAAAATGGCCAAGTCTCCTCTTCCTTTTCCTTTTATGCTGCCACCCCCCCACAC